TTTCTAACAATCTTAAGACATATTCTTTCTAAATTTTTTTAATCCGAGAGGAAATCGATTCTTTGAGTTTAATCCTAACTATGTACTTATGAAGCATCGTTGGAAAACCACCAAAATGAGGAACCCTTGCCAAAGTAAAGTTCTCAATTGATTCCAAAAGTTGTTTGTGTGTTCAAAGCAAGTTGGACACAATATTGGGTTCCCACTAACCTTTATGTGTGATGAGGCATTTCTATGTTAATTTGTCTGCAAGTTTTTTATTATGTAAAATTACCATGTGATAAGCGTGATAAGGAAGACACAATGCTGATAAAGATATTCAAATATGCAGCTTATGGATTATTGACTTACGGGGGCGCACTTTGAACCCACATGTTGGTTCAAATGACTACGATTAAGAAATTAATCAGTAAATGATATCTTCAGTATTTCATTTTCAGTAATATTTTGTGTTAAATATTGTACTTATGTTCAGATTTTAGTTTTATTAAATTCTCACCGTTCAACAGAAATTAGTTATGTTTCGAGAATTAATTTATTAAATTCTCGTCGTTCAACAGAAAGTGGTTATGTTATGGGTTTTAATCCCGTTGTCCAACAGAAGTCGGTTTTGTTTCGGATTTTAGTTTTACTAAATCATGATGTTTAACGAATTCGACAAAAATATTGTTGATTGTGAATTTTTGTTTCAAGATTTTAATTTTACTAAATTCCCACCGTTTAACAGAAATTACTAAGTTGTTGGATTTTAGTTTTGACTAAAATTCGTTGTAATAAATAAGATACCGAATGGAATTATGATATGTCTGTGAACAAAAATCGGGCCTATAATTCTATTTCAGGGTTTTAATCATGTTGTTCAACAAAATTTATTTGATTTACTATTGATAACAGAAATCGTTTGGAGGTACATTGTTACAAATTTTGTTTTAGAATTTTAATTTCTAATTAAATTTTTGTTGTTCAACATAAACAAATGGTAAAATAAATTGAATTAACTTTCAATTTATTGTTGGAATATTTACAAATTCTGGTTACATGTTTTAAACGAAACAATGGTAACCCCACTGATTCACTTAACTTGTGATTTGAAATGTTGATTCCTTTTTAGACTATGAATAAAATTCAACGATGTCAGTGGTCGTGAGCCACAACGAGAAGCATGTGAAATTCATGGATAGAATTTCAAGACATAACGACATAAGGTGTTATATTTAATCATGCTGAATATGGTCAAATATAGGATGATCCTCCTATTCATAGAGAGGATGAGATAGACATTGTGGTCATTAAAGCTTGAAAGCATTCTAAGTTTCTATGTCGGAATTACATCTTGAATGGATTGTCAGATACACCATATGAAGTGTATAGTACCCATAAGATTGCTAAAGAATTATGAATGACATTTGATCATGTTCTGAGTTGTCATAGAACATGTGGAAGAAGCTATTTTATTAGCAAATTACCTTTAAATAAGGTAACTTACAAGAAAATAGGCGAGACAACATATGAGTTATGGAAATGTAGAAAACTTTCCTACAACTACATCAAAGTGTGGAGGTGCCTTGTATAAGTATAATGGTAAGTCGAGACACATACGTCGTCGACATAATATCATTAAACAATTGATCTCAACTAGAGTTATCTATATTGATTTTGTAAGATCAAAAGATAATATTTTGGATCCGCTAAACAATGAGTTGAATCTAGATCAAGTTGATAAACATCGAAAGGAATGTGACTAAAGCCCATTAATATTTAAGGCGCTATGTGAAGGAAAACCCAACTTAGTTGATTGGAGATCCCAATATCTAAGTTCAATGGGACAACTTACTTGCATAGACCTTGTGAGGTCACTGTTGGGTTTCTTATCCCCAAGTCCATCCCTATGATGAAAACAATGACTAAAATGTGGAAAAGGTTAAGCAATGCTTTTAATGACCAATATGTGTTTCTGTGAGCCGAACAACATAAGTCACCTATGTGAGAGTCAAGTGGAGCCACTTCAAATAGACTATTGGGGAATAGTTCTCTAAACTCTTGCAGAACCAGGAGATGTTCACGACTATATGGACATAACCATGAGAACCAATTCCTGTCAGTGAGATATTTGTGTGGGATATGTCATCGCTTACACCAACGGTAGGACAGGTCAAGGATATCACGTCTACTGGACAACCAGAAAGGTAAATATATTTTCACAAGGGAAAGTTCAAAGGGGGACGCCTACCTATCCTTTGCAAATATCGAACGTAGAATCTATCACCATATCGAGTCAGTGTTTGAAATCATCAATTTCATTCATGTGGGGGATTGTTGGAAAAATTAATAAATAATTCAATAAAATTGATGTCTTTAAATAATAACTTATGTCACTTGGTGAACATACTTATTATTTGGTATAAAATTGCATCAATTCAATTATGTCCATTAGCTTTTCAACAAATCTCTTCATCAAAAGGTCATAAACTTTTGATTAATTTCCTCTCCCCTATATATAGGTTAGTTAAGGCACAATCTTAGACACAACTTTGAGACATAATTCACAAAGTTGAATTAGGAAATCACTTAGAAAATTCCTTTCAAATTCGTTATTTCCGATGATAGAGAAAAGTAAGATTGTGTTCGACTAATAAGTACGGCTGTGCTTACTGTTGTGATTGTTTGTTGTTGTATCCTGGGAGACCGACGTCCAACGTTACTCAAAGCAGCGAGGAGAGGATGAATCTGTCTTAAGGAAACTGTTCATACATGCCTCAACAAAAATCCTTCTTCGGTTTATCATACTCTACTCATTTGATTCAGTGTCTACACACGAGTAAACTAATTTCTTGCCTCTACTTGAAGTTTTATTTATTTTTCTTCGTTCGATTATATAATAATATTTAATTATTATTATTTTATCTTGGATTAATCATTTTTTCTAACAAAAACAGCTCAACCTGGCCGGGAAAATAAAAAAGAAGATAATGAACTGCTTGAGGTTCCCCATCAAGGACAAGCTCAAGCCTTCTGCATACACTTATCAAACAAAATCAAGAGCCTAAACATTTTATTAGAAGAAAAGGCAGGAGATACCAACCTTTCAAAAGAAGTGCCTGTTTAGACTGCAACCAATCAATATTCATCTCTAAATAATCCATACAATATTAGACAAGATCTGGTTATACACACAAAAGAAAAAGAAAAAAACCTGACATCACAAACATAATGAGCATAAACACAATTCATGCACTTCAAGCTAAAGTCGTTGCCCGAAAAAAGGTGCAAATACTGCACAGTGCATAGACACTTTAAGATCTTTCCAGAAATATCAACAGAATCAACATCTAAAGTTCTGAACTTCTGGATAGAGAGTCTATGAATGCCACATGCCGAAATTACTGATTTCTCTAATGAATTTCAGAATCAATTTTCAACAACAATGTAGTAGAAGAAAGGAAAGAGGTAACCAAAATAAAGAAAAGATGCACCTCCATTAGGTCCCAGAGAGTGTTCTGTCATCACATCACTCAAGTTTTATGAGATCCTCAACATCGATAGCACGCTCGAGAAGTTCATGTTGATCATAACATCCAGGACAAAATATATAACAAATAACGTCCAATTGAAAGGATACGGTAACAAATAATTGACCGAATCAAAATTGATTACAGCAACCTTCCTGCACAAACAATGGCATTGTGGGAGGTCAAACTTCTACCGCAACTAATAATCCATCTAACACGTGTGCTTCAGCAAACGAAGAAACAACAAACCTTCCAATAAGTTTAAGGAACTGAGACATGCCGTTGCAGTAGGTAGTTTTTCCCGATCCAGGTGGACCATTTGCCCAAACACCATCCTACTTCGCAGTATAAGTAATTTATATTTGCATTGAAAAGATTTTCCAACTCTAAGGTTACCGTACATAAATTATCTATATACACTAACGTGTAGGGATAAATTTTCCAATATATTACATACACAAACTTGAATCAAATTGAAAAACTAAAAGCTTATAGCATAAACAATCGGATTTAAACGAGACAATTCCTTGGGATTTCTAAAATGCCAAATTCGTTTACCTGAACCAGAGGGTTGTTGAAGGTTTCTAACTTTCGCAAAGACGGTTGCAACAAGGGGTTTTGGGTTTAACCATTTGACTTCGAAACAGAGGATGAACCCCAGTCGAACGTTCCAGAAACCGTCTGCCAATTGCACAGATTGAAAAATAAGGGGCGTTCCGAGAATCGAACTCGGGACCTCTCGCACCCAAAGCGAGAATCATACCACAAACGCCCCTTTGTTTAAAATATACACAATATTATATTAGTATACATCTGTTTTACATTTTGGTACATGTTTCTTATCCATGAGAGACAAGTGGAAACTTGAAACTAATAATTTAAAAAATTAGGATTTCTTTGGGGTTTGGTTAAAAATAATCTATTTGGCATATATACATCTCATTTGCAGCTTTGCAATTACCCTTCCTTTGAAGGGTCTTGTCCTGCAGGCCTTAGATTGATCAACTTTTTTCCCCCCAAAAGAACTGCCAGTCATTGAATCCGACATGAACGGGCAAGGGAAACATTTCGTGGACTGAAACAAGGTAAATCAAGCAAGCAGCCGTTAGATGTTTGTATGCCAAGAAGGGAAAACATCCATGTACTCATTAGTAAGTATTCCCTAGCACAAACAAGGAAAGAAACAAGGATGATTTCTGAATTCTGGGGTTTCAAATCAAATGCACCAGCACTCAAAGCTTCACACTGCAACAAAGTTGTGGTTATTGTTCAAAGAAAAGAAAATTAATGTAAGAGCCGCTGCAAGCGTGACACCAAGTTCCAAATGAATCTGCACATAAGTTTACTATACTAACCATGTAAATTATCTTTACAACAAATTCACTGAATCAAGAAGATAACAATCTAAGATGAGAATTTACAAGTTCCAAGTAAATAACAAAATAGTCTTGATTCCTAAAGAAATCCAGACCCGAATGTTCTGTTCTTGTACTGACCGGAAGGTCCTACCAAACCTGGAAGTGCTAACTTGTAATATGAGATCTTGTACAGAATGTCGAAAACTGTCTCAAAATCTATCCTCATGTCATCCTCAGCCTCCAGTGGCTAAAGATGTATGTGATCATCATAGATGCGTTCTTTCTCTGGAATTCAATGATTCTGATGCCAATGAGAGTTTGGCAGATTACACCCCTAACAACTTCGTGTCACCAGAAAACCAATGCATGAATTACATCATTGACATGTTTAGAAATATTTATCAGGCACTTCAGTTGACATGCCATACTTTCAATGCTCAAAAAACAGTGGCCTGTAAAAAACTAGGGCAATGCTTCCAATCCTACTTTATGCTGGAAGCCATGACTACCACAAATTAATGTTTATAAGACAACATACATGCTATCTTCACCCAGAACAAATGACGTTCAATAAGATAACTTTCTTCCAAACATTTCATTTTCATACCGGTAGTTTAATTGCACAGCCACAGCCTTGTCAGAATGTTATATACATGCAAAACTATCTCCCAAAAACCAAATGCCACAATTGTTGAAGCTTGAAACAAAGCCGGAGCAAATAAGGATTGATCGGTGTTTAATTGGTGTTTAATCAGTGCCTAAAATGACAGGATGAACTGAAATAAAATCCAACTGTCCAAGTATAGAGCAAACCTTCCTATTTCCCTACCAATTCAATAAGTTAAAGAATGACTTCAATTCCACTTCCCTACACATTTACACGTAAAGAAATCTACTTCATTAGTCAGCAACAATTATATTCACAAGCAGAAATTTTAACCTTTGAAGACATGAAAACGGACATCTTTCAAAGACTCTGCATAGGGTTATCCCCAGTAGGCAAGCAATCAATGAGTTTAAGAAAATGTTCAGGCTCCCATTTCCTCCTCCCTCGTCTTTCCTTGTCCTTCTTCCTCTGCCTCCTCCATGATTTATCTGCACCCGGACTTGTCCTATTCGCGAAATATGCTTACATTTCCAGCACCAAATAGTCCGGTAAGCCCCTGGGCTTCCCACTGTAAGCTCCAACAACTATAGTTTCCTCGTTAGCTTCTATCATATTCTTTGAACTTGAATTCCTTTTACAACAATTCCAAAAGTTTGAATTTTCTTCAACCATAAAATGATTGTCGCCCATGAAATTAAGAGTGACCGGAACCAAATTGTGGTCCGAGCAGATGGAATCTAACCAACAATCGAGACCCCCTGTTGGCGTTTCAGTTTGCCCTTCAAGATCGAGAAAGTTGACAATCAGCCCGTCTGAGGATATCCCCATCCACAAAAACGGCGATTTGGTGACGTGATAGGTGCCGTTGAGGCAAGAACCGGAGACGAACGATGGGCCCCACTCGAAGGTGATGACTCGGGGCCATTGAGCCAAGAGGTCTGCTCGACCGCTGTGTCGCCACAAGCCAATGAGATTCTCCCAGCGGGTGAGGGTCTTGTAAAGGAGCATGTAAGAGATGTTGCCACCACCCCATTGGGTAATGTGGGTCTTGGAGCCCCAGCGGCGGTGGTACATGGTGAACCAGAGCTTGGCGTCGTTACGGCATAGAGAAACGAAGCGTTTAGAAGTGGAAGCAAAATTGGCGAAGTCGGGTGGAGAGAGGAGGGAGAGGATGCAAAGCTGGATGTCTTCGGGTATGTCGGAGAAGGGAAATGAAGACCCCTTGGGATTAGCCATAAACGCAAGCTTTGTGACAAACTGTTTTCTGGGAGGCAATTCTATGGCTGTGTTGTTAATCTGAGGAAATTAAGATGAGAGCTTGATAATGAAAGAGGTGGTAATGGCAGAGATTCTTGGAGAAGAGGGAATGATTGTTTTGTACAAGACGGAGGTTTCAAAGAAAGTGTTTCGTCTCAAATCGTGGCCAAGTAAATCAAAAATTGCCCATACTCGTGGAATTCGGTCCACATTTCCGTGCGCTGCAATTCTTGGTCCGTAATTGGTCGCAAGTATGTTTATGTTTATAAAACCCAATCTAATTTGTTTTAATAGAAAATTCAGTATTAATGTATTTCTATTTATAAAAAGTAAATTATAAATATTATTTATAATATTAAATAAAACAAATCAATCTTAATATAAGTTATATATTATTTTAGATAAAATTTTTAATAACATTTTAAATTGATTTAATAGTAGCTAAAATCATAATAATATTTTAAATTCTTTTTTCGGATAAGTAATAATATTTTGAAGTCATTTAATAGTTAGATGTTATTTTTTTTAATTTTTGGGTGAAGTAGACAAATAGTCTCTCGACTATAGGATATTATTTTATTAAGTTTATTGATTATTAAAAGTTATAAAATGTCTATCGATAATAGGGAGTTACTTTATTGAGTTCATGACCATTAAAAGTTATCAAATAATCACTCGATTATTGATTATATTCTAAACTTATCATTTTCCATTAAAAATTAACGGCAATCTAAGTTGAACATTAACATGCTGACTAAAAAATGATAATCGTTTGAGATTATGAGATTAGATTTTATCATATCTTAATTAGTAGGTTAACATATATTTTAGAATGTCATCAATTTCTAATAAAAAGTGATGAGTTTGGAACATAATGAATACACATGCAACCATTTTGTAATTTTAAATAGTTAAAGACTCAACAAAACAACTCCTTATAATCGGATGATCATTTTGTAGCTTTTAATAGTACCTAAATAAAGCAATATCCTACAGTTAAGGGGTCATTTATGTACTTTACCCTAAAAGTTTTTGCTCAAATCTTTTCAAATGCATTCAATATATTTTTTTAATTTTTATTAATTTAGATAAATATAAGATAATATATGTTCAAATGTAACTCTCAATCATTTGACAATAAATACTCATATATATATATATATATGATATTCTTAGTATTCAAATCCAAAATCTCAAAAAATAATACTAATTCTTTTACTACTTAGATTGTTTAGTTTGTACTTTAATTTATTTAAATAAAAACAAATGATCAAATCAAAATACATTCAAATAATTATTTTGTTAAAGAATTAATGATGAAATAGTGTAATTGAATCTTAAAATAAAGTTTAATATTACAGTTAAAATTAATTTTAAGTCAACAACCGACATTAATACTAATTAGATGTAGAATAATATAATTAATTTAAAAATTAAAATTTAATATTATAATCGAAGAAATTAAAAATGTTTAAAAGTCAATTTCAAGCGTGAGTAAATGAATCCAACTCTCTCTCTAGACATGCAATACGAAGGACCCATCAAAGACCGAAAGATGATTAACATTTTGATTTCATCTATGGGTGTTTAATGAGTCAGTAGTTTATGAGTCGTTCAAATTTGATTCAGAGAAAATTTAATAAAAATTTTACTTGGGTTGATTTGATTTGAATTCGAGCTCAACTCGAGACCTTAACGAGTTGAGTCAAGTAAAATCCAACTCGAATCGATAAATTAGTGATAAACTTGTTAATTTTTTTATAACATTTTACTAGTTATCTCAAAAAATATTTCATTCAAAAAATTATTAATTTACTAATAGGAAATAAAAAAAATGATAAATCACTAGTCTATTAATTTTCTAATAAATAATTTAAAATACTAAATTATTATTATTTTACTACACCCAAAAATCAAAACCTAATAATTATTACACCCAAAAATTAAATCCTAATAATTATTTTAGTGTATTTGCATTGTTATTGGTGTTTAGAATTAGAATTTATTTTATACACTCTTTTGATAATTTTTTGTTAAAATTTATTAATTTATGTTTATATTAAGTTATATATAATATTAGTTGATTTTATATATAGTTAAAAAATAAACTAAAAAATTTGGTAAGTTTAACGAGTAACGAGTCGAGCAACAAATTTTTCTTAACAAGTCCGAGTCGAGTAAAATTTTAATGAGTCGAGCAATAAATTTTTTTAACGAGCACGAGTCAAGTAAAATTTTAAAAAACTTAACAAGAAACAAATTAAATCAAACAACAAAAATATTTAACAAACACAAATCAAACACTATTTAACTCACGATTAACTCGTTCAATAAACCCCTATTTTCACTACAGAAATCCCGATGATATATCACAAGCCAGAGCTTATCATAGCATTACATCAACAATCTACTTTATTTCTCATACATCAGGCTGATAATTGCACAGGTGGAGCATGTATTGAGATATGCCCAAAAGTTTCTAAACTTCTTTCTCTTGTATATATATTATATATAATATATATAAAAAATAACAATTCCTTAAAAAAAAGATTTTGACATCTTAAAAAAAACAAAGAACGAAAATAATGCTAATTATAGAGTACTATTTTATTAAACTTTTTGATTATAGAAGTTATTAATTTTTCCTCCAAATATAGATGTTTCTTTATTAAATCCCTTAACTATTAAAAAATATAAATTAATCACCTCATTATTCATTATGTTTTAACCTGTCTTTTTTCGTGAAAAAATAAACAATATTCTGAACTGAACGTTAACTTGTTGAATGTGATAAGATAAAATCTGATTCCAAAATCTCAAATGACTATTGCGATATGATAAAATATGATTCCAAAATCTCAAACGACTATTATATCTCAATAATCATATTGTCAAAAAGATTTTTTCCTTTAAAAAAACAAATTTAATTTTTAAAAGTGATTTTCAAAAGATCTCGTCTCGAATAATTTGGTGTTTTCTTTTAATAATAAAACATGGTTCGAGGAGTTACCACCAATCTTTGATTAGGGTGTGATTGGGCACCCAAAATGTTTTGCCATTTAATAAAATTTATTTTTAATTAAAACAACAATTCTACAGTCTGCGCTACCAAAAATTTGAATTCGGGAGTCAGTTACACGTGAGAAAGGATTAGTACCCCACAACGCCCTAAATCGGTACCTAGTCGATTAATTAGTTGTCATTGCAATGAAATTTACGAATTCGAGTTTAATTTAATTTAAGATCCCATACAAATAATACTCTTTGAAATTTAGGACGAAACACAATAATATTTAATTATTTCTTATCGAGAAGAATCAACCTCTTATGCCTTAAAGCGGTCGATTCTTACTCTAATCGAAATAAAAAAATATTACAATTTCATCCAAAAGTTCATTATTAATTCCAAATTTAAATGTATAAATAACAATAAAATAAAACAAAATAAATTTAAAATTTTCTTTTTAAAACACGTTTTTTGAATTTTAAAAGGGAAAATGGTAATATTTAATTATTTCAAATCGAGAAGAAATGACCTCTCATACCTTAAAACAGTCATTTTATTACACTAATCAAAATAAAGAAATATTACTATTTCATCCTAAAATTCAATAGTAATTTTAGTGTTATTTATTTTTGAAATCATATTAAAACATATACAAAAATAAAACAAAAGTCAAATACATACATCAAACAAATATGATTAATTAATTATTTTACCAACATTTAATGAGAATAAGGATGTTCAATTATTTAAATACATCGAGATGAGACCTTAGATTCAATCTAACAGTCTTTTCTAGGTGAATTTAATTAAAAGAACATGATCTTTTTCTCAGTCCCCAAATTTTAATGTAATCAATTTTATTCGTCTCTCTTGATAGGATACCATTTTATTTTAAAATTATTGAAAGCAACCTCTTATTCTTTAAGACAATCACTTCTTCTAATCTCAAAATAAACGAATATTCCCTTAGTCAAATTATTTCGATTCGAGTCAAGTAATGCTTATGAGGTTTCATACAATTGATTCAAATTTAATCCTAAACCTATATGTAACAAATTACACAAATATTTATATTTCATGATACCAATGCATTTTATACCTGGATAATATTCTAAGCATGTATTATGCGTATTATGCAAATATAGGGTTAAATAATAAAAATGGAAGTTTTAGTGTCACAACAGCAAGTCGAACAAATTTCATAAAATATAATACAAAAGTCATATATTTACAAACACTAAAAATATAATAACCCCATATATTTAGGACCAAAATGAAAATATTTGAAAATACATGCTAAGATTATAATAAACAAAAATAAATAAGCTATGGAGACCAAATTAAAATAAAAAATAATTACATGATTAAATTAAATCAAATTGAAAAAGCAGACCAGTGACCAAAATCTAAAAATATTCTTAAACTGTAAATACTAGTTAACAAGTATTCCTTTTTTACAAGCCTAAAATACACTTTTAACTAAAAATGCGTAAAATACTAAATCAGTCCAGTAAAATTAAAATAAAATTAAATAATCACTACATATGACCAAAATGAAAAACATGCTTAAATAAGAGGGACTAAAAAAGAAATATTCCAATAAATATATAATATGCATGAAAAAAGGGGTAAATAACAAATTTGGTCCTCGCATGTGACCAAAGTGTAAAAACACGCTAAACTATGGGGGACTAAATAGAAAATATTCTAATAAATATATAACATACATGAAAAAGGGTAAATAATGATTTTGGTCCTCGTAGATGACCAAAGTGCAAAAACGTGCTAAACCTAAGGGACTTAAACTGACTTTACCCAAATTTTTTCTATAAAACACACTTTTTCATTTTTTTCATTTCAAACCCATTTCAGAAAAAAAAATGATTCCAACTCTCTCTTTTCCTCTCAACCATCTCCTCTCTCTCTCGGTCGGCCACCCTCTGGCCTTCCACGCTGCCGTCTCAACCGCCGCTCTAGCCACCACACACGATGGTCAGAGTTTCTATACCTAGCCTAAAATAACACAAACATCTCGATATACTACCCTAGACTCCTATTTGGGGTTAAAACCACCAAATATTACTCCTAAACACCAAAAAAAGGCCTCGCCGTTTCGACTT